GCGATACTATGTCGAGGCAGAGATAGGAAGTGCCAGTGAGAAGCAGCAGGTGCAGATGCACATGAGGTACCTTTGCCCTTGCCTTGCGTTGGGGAAGCAGATTGAATCCGCAAGGCACCCTATTGCTCGATGCTGACAGCCGCTGCAACACACACTGGATGGCAGATTGCGAAAAGAAGGACGGGAACCTTTGAGCGCCGCTACTGCCCGTGACTACGGGCGGGACCGGATCTGACCCGCACGGCGTGGCAAGGTAGGGAGGTGCGTGAGACGGATGAGATGGCCTTGTACGGCTTACAGATACCTACATGACATCCATAAGGCCAAAGGGTGGTGTATCCGGGCTGGAATAAGCTATGTAGCAGCTGAAGCATGATGAGTACGTAAAGACAAAAAACAGAGCGAGCAACCAACCCATCTCCATTGATCCATCTCGATTGTCACAGCCGAATCGGGCCACTTATGGGACCCCGTGCAAGCCGTGGACTCCATCGTGGTTCCCGGTGACAGGAAACTGGATGGATCTGGCCAGTGGGAGGTGGGAAACGGCAACCTAAGCGGTGGCCCATGCTTTTCCCCCGATGCTCGAGACTTCAATGTGTGTGTGCTACTTCCCAAGTTCCCACCCGTGCGTGCCGTGCCCCTTCTTCTCCCCAGAGTGGTATCCGTCCTGTGCCGTTATGATCAGTGGTCAGTGGTGGTCCGACGGCGGGTGTCATCCACTTGTCGCTGGCGGGGGGCCTTGACTACCTTAACAGATGACGAGATGGCCTCTCCCGCGCTGTCCACTGTTGGGGCCGCACGCAGGGGGAGCGGACTCCAGAGCAGGGCAGGACAGGCAAGGCAGGGTAAATCGCAAGCAAGGTACGGATACGGCAGAGACACGGGTGCATCGCTGCATCGCAGGGCAAGACATGATGATGTGCCTTGAGTGGACTGCGACTTGCAGTTGTCGTTGCCGTGACCGTTGCGTTTCGCTCCCTGCGGTCGTGAGGACGAAGACGGCAATGGCGTTCTGGTAACCGAGTCAAAGGTAGGTATCCCGAGCTCGTGGGGTGAATGTCATGGCATTTCAGATACGGAGTACTGTCTCTGTACTTTCTGTACAGATTGTGCAGATAGTACTCCAAATCCCCATGGCGGGCTTGGTGCGACGCACACCACCCAAGTAGGTTTCTCACTGCCCGCCACAGTCGGTTAGTCTGGTCTCAGAATGGGGAGGGAAAAGAGACACGGATGGTTTTCTCACCTGACTCGGAAACTGAAAGATATCAGCTCGTTGCCCGTATCTGTGAATACCCAGGAATAAGGCCTTGACCGAGGGTGGGAAAAGAAAATGGGCATCCGCATCCGTAATTGTGAGGAAAGGATTGATAGGCAAAAGCAGCAGGTCCACCCACACCCGACCGACTGCTCTTGCACTTGTTCGACTTTGCTCCTGCTCTCCGTACCTGCCAGCCTGCCGTGCCTGCTTCTTGCCTGCAATCTGCGTTGCTTCCCTTCCTTCCTTCCGACCCAGCCCTTGTTCAACACACGCCCCCCTCTCTTTACCCCCACGCCCAGCCCCCTCCCCCTCCTCCTCTTCCTCCTCCACGTCCCACGGTTCCAGTCCCTCTTCTTCCTCACCCTCAGTCCTGGAGCACAGCTCTCCTCTTCTAAGGTAAGGTAAGTTCTCCGATCTCCAAATCCTCCCCCACCACCGCCTTATCCTAACTATGTTCATCGCGCGCATATACCCTGCATTTTTGACCTGCCATCGATTGAACTCAAATTTCAGCTGGACTGTCGACTATCTCGCCTTAGCACCGCTAAATTCTTCGGGACCCAAATCACCCAACACTGGAGATACTTTCAATTCAGGAACGGCCTAGCCTCATGTCAACCATGCTCTCGAGTCTCGAGTCTCGACTTTCCCACGCGGCAACCCTCCTCCTCAGAGATCTTTCTCTAGCGAGAGTGAGACAGACAGCTTCTAATCAGGCAGGGAAGAAGACCCCGTGACTGCTTACTGGTGTTGCTGATTTACAACTGCCAGCGCTATCGGACCGCGGTTGATGCCTGGTCTGTGCCATGGTCGGCCGATGTTGCGCACATCCCTCCTTGTTAGGTAGCGTACTCGGCTGCGATCGTTGAATGCTGATACCCGAGGGAGGAACAAACAGCCTTGACCTCGAGGTATCGGACGACGCTCTGATATGGCACTTCTTTTCGATGAATTGAGTTGACTCACCTCACCCGGCGGCAACGCAACGGCCATGGCTTCCGTCTCCTGCGTCAGCCACCTGAATGGCTTGGCAACTCGTCAACCTTTCACCCCCTTGATCTCGCAGGCGTCCGCCGTGATTTTGTACCATCCGCTTATTCCTCGCCGACCGTTTGTCTACTCGGCATCGGCTGTTGCCTCCCACCCGCGCCAGCTCAACTGAACAGAGACCCAGGCACAGGATGCCGACAATCGTGTACTTTGCGCCACGCCAACGCTAGAGCATACATACTCGACTGGGCGGCTGTTGATTACATGACCCTTCCTAGGAAGCAATGATAAAATACGGGGGCACACGAGGTAATGCAGCCGTCCACTTTAGGACGACAGCCGAGACGCGATTGCGCTCCTCTCCAGCTCCTGCTGCGCTATCCAATTCCACATGCTCGAGTCGGCCGGCCGAGCCCACCATCGCCTCAATCCTATCACCCTTCTCGCTCTATCATCACCTGCGGCAACCTTTTGCCTGTCTACGCCGCAGCGGCAATCAATGGGGCCTCTAATTCACCTCCGGTCTACCAAGAAATCCTGGCAGTGTAGCCAACACCACCAAGAAACCCACCACATGGTCAATATCAGACTATCAGTCCATAAGCCCAGGCTCGGCCGCCTAGCCAAAGTCCAATTAAACAAACCGTGGTTATCTATGTCTCTCCTTCTCTAGGATTCCCAACCCTCAGCCGTGCAGCGCCATCAGGCCATGGCGGCCGTCAACTGCATTGAAGCAACCAAGGAGACATGCATCTTGCCCGCGACCATTGGTACTACCAAGTGCCAAAACCTGTATGCCCTGATCTACTAATAAAGTTGCAAAGCTTACCAACGCGTCGGACCATGCTACCGTCCTTTCTTCAGTCAGCAGGACAGTGCAGAGCAGGGCAGGGCCATTGGCAACCCAAAGACACTTTGACCCTCCACAGCCTGTGAAAGCGAACCCCTGTCAATTTAACCCGACAGCCATTGGACATCCTTGTGGGCGACTCTTCCCCGGTAAAGAAGGAGGGCAAGGGCCAAATCGCCTCCGCATTGTCTCCGCGCGCCTGCGTAGGGACTATTACGGGGCCCTCGAATTCGCTCAGTACGGAGGAAAATAGTATTCGTACACAATGGTTGCTTTGTACTCGGCTCGGTTAGTCCATACAATGATTGATTGTTGAGAGGGAGTCAGCATGTGGGCTACTGTGTATACTGATTCGATGAGCCAAGGCACTGAATTCGCGACTTTCCCGCTCATATCAGTCAAGGCAAGGAGGGGGCGTGCGCAACACGGCCGTTCAACGGCCGGTCCACCAATCCTGCGAAGAAAGGCTGGCCTCTCGTCTGCCGTCGCCTTATCTAAGTGGAGAGGCGCACGACTGAGAAATCAAGACCACCTCCAGGCTCCAAGGCAGTCAAGACAAGACGAGACAAGTGGAGAGGGGTTTTCCGTTGGCGCTCTGTCTGTATGCCGGTATACGATAACGGAGAGGCTTGCCAATGCATCCAATGGCTCTAGGGCCATGTACGATTTCTTGGTATAACAGATACTTTTGCTTCCTACGGAGTACGGATACCACGAATCGAGGTTGATAGCGGGACGTCGACGACCTGAGAAGGTGCGGCCAATCCCTTGGAAGAGCACGCGGCCAGCTCCGACACGGACGGCAAGGGCATGTATTTCTGGCTTATCGAATAAGCCATGCCGTCAACACAGCCGATCGGACTCGACTATGTTCTTCGAGTACGGAGTATCACTCAATCGTCGAAGAGACCGTTGCCAAATTCGCAGAATGGCAAGATGCAGCTGGGAAGTGCTGTGGGAAGAGATGTGGAGGCAGTTCTGAGAGCTTTTCGCGCATGCTGCAACAAACGCAGCAGCGCCGGTTCGATACCCGTTTTTCATCGGGTCTCGACTCTTTGCCCGTCCAGCCGCAGTGTCTGCGCAGCAAGCGCCGAGGCTCCAAAAGACTATTGTCGCGTTCAAAATGGAGCCCGCCAAAGTATGCGAAGAAGCCATGCTGACCGTAAAGCGAAGGCGAGCTTACAGAGTACAGAGTACTATTCTTGCCTCAACTCACCTTACCTTGGGCCCGGGTGCCGCAGCGAGTGAGACATTGTCGCGGGACACACTCGGTCGAGGCGAACGACTCGAGGCCTAAAGCTAGGTACTTGTCTTTACCACCTCAGCTCCTAGCTTCCCAGCCAACTCCGAACCACCCCCACCAGATGAGCGAATCGGTTACATCTTGAACGCGGATTAGCGTCATCCCAATGAGCGTTGGCAGTTCTGCGATGGCTGACCGCCGTATCTTTCTGTCAGTACGGATACGTACTAGATAGACTAGAGACACGTATACATGGCCCTGGGAAAGGACCGAGGAACGCAAGACAACAACAAACGACAAACGACAAACGACAGTGCCACTGCCAATGCCAATGCCAATAACTGACAGCATCTTGGTCCGCCATGGGCTTGGAATTTCTCTCTCCTGGAGAGCAAAGGACACGGCCGGCCTTGAATGATGCCCCTGTGCTTTCTCTCTCCCTCTCTCTCGTCGAGTGCGTCGCCAATCCGTTCACCCACCCGACCTCCTCACAACCTCTCACCTGTCGCCCTCCAGCCGACAGGATCAGGATTGGCCAGCCAAGAAAAGCTGGTGATGCACACACCACCAATTCCCTGACGGCACACCCTCGCCCAGTCCCTTGTCACTCCGTCCCACACCCCCCGAACTCTTACTCCCAAGGGCCCGAATCCCCCATTCATCCCTAGCGCGCAAAGGGACCTTCACCAGGTATCCTTGACTGCCCCCCAACTTGGCCATCCCGGCCCAGCCTATCCCATTGCCCATCGCATCCTAGAAGCCGCTAGGAGGGCGGCGGTATGCTCACCAGAGACCTGCCTCTATCTGCGTCTACTCGGCGGTGCGGCTTATTACTTACATCCACTCCTCCGCAGTATCTAGACCAGGCTCCATTCCACGTTCTCCTTCCACCACATTCGACATCTGTCCGTCTTTTCTGCTTCGCCATCCAGTCGGTCCAGAGGTTTACAGGAATAGGAAGCATTTCTGGTTCGCTTTCACCGTGGCCGAGAAGGCTATGCACTCGCCTCCGTCACCGCTTCTAATCACACCTGGATCCGGTCCGCTTCATGTTGCACCGTTCGTCCCTTCGCAATCGCAAAGTTCATGCATCAGACGCAACAACAAACGCTACAATACCCTCATCAACCTCCCTAGCAACACTGTGCTAGTCTTCGATCAACCGATAAAGTGCGCTGCTTCAGCCTCGAAATAGTCATCAACGACTTTGCCATTGGGACAGTTAGCCGAGCCGATTCTTTGCACGAAATTCGACCCGCCCGCTACGTCACGTCTCGACCTTCGACGACGCATCCTTTTCCTCGCTCGTCGTGCCCTCCGCGGAGGTCGACGGGCGTGGATTGCTCCAGTCCATCATGAGCCTCTATACTGAGCCACCCGAGTTGCGCAGTTCCTCGCAGGACAAGCCTTCGCTATTGGTTTGTTGGTGGATAACGTCATTCTGCACTGTTATTATCCTACTGCGGGTTGCCGGCCGCTTCATTCGAACCGAAAAACTATTTCAAGAGGACAAGGTCGCAGCACTCGCCCTGATCCCTCTATGGCTCCGCATGGGTTGCGTGCATTTTGTCTTGCTCTACGGGACTAACAATGCCGAATTTGACGGCATCACATTATCCGCGGAAGTTGAGCGCAGGAAGGAAATCGCAAGTGGTCTCGTGCTTGCCAGCCGAATCTTCTACGCAGCAACGTACGTCACGGAGTCCCCTTCATAAACTCCCTTTTCATTTCTTCATTTTGTATTTTTTTTTTGCCGGCTAGCGCCCGCAACACTTCATGCAGCAATTTCATCGCTGGATCCAGTTGGACGGTTGGATGGCTTGCTAACGCTTTGTCTGTGCAGACTGTGGATTCTCAAGAACACTATTTTAGAGTTCTTCAAGCGTCTGACTGGCGTCACTTGGGCACGTTCCTACGAACAGACGCTGGTGTTCATCAGATGCACCTTGGTCGCAACCTTCATCGCCATTATCATTAGCGATTTGGCGGAATGTCGGCCTTTCAATCACTACTGGCAGGTTACACCTGACCCGGGTGGTCAATGTCGCCAAGGGTTCGCTCACCTCCTCACAATGGCGACTTGTAACATCATCACCGACTTGCTACTGGTCTTCTTTCCGATTCCCATTATTCTGCGCAGTCAGATGAATGTGAAGAGAAAGATTCAGCTCACCCTGCTCTTCTCGCTCAGCCTGGCTGTCGTCGGTGTTACTATTTATCGTGTCCCCCATGTTATGAGGGCACATGGCAAACAGCAGCTGCGTTCCGTACTGGCATCCGTTGAGCTCCTTTTCGCAACAACGGCTGCAAATGCCCTAGTCTTGGGCTCATTTGTTCGTGATCGCGGCTTGAAGAAACAAAAGTTCAAGTACGGTTCTGTGGCAGAAGATTCAATAGATCGCAGAGGCTCCGACTCGCGCCGTCCCACTCTCCATCGTCATTGGGGAAGTGATGAGGATCTAGTCCGAGATGTCGGCCTTGGTGTTGATCCTGACCTACGAGAACGCGATGAGGAACGAGACGAGTTCGACAACGAACAACAACGGTACACTCCCGCACCAATGGCCAAACCGTTTGGCGAGGAGCTGAGACAGTGGCAATTCCCTCAGCGGCAACGAAGCAATGCCGAACGCAGCGACGCTTCTCTATTACCCCACGACCTTTCTTCCTCAAGGAGCAACTCGACCACGACACCGCGCAGGGTTTCCTTTTTCGACGTCGGGGGTTTGTTATCAGAGGAACAGCTTGGAGTCGGCCAGACATTCCGCAGGGACAGCATTGTCTCAAGCGTGGACCCTATGGTATCTAGCGTCCACGGTGTCCCGTCACCCACTTTACCCGCTGGATCGAATGGTCTACGTCGCGGATCAACAGCACTCTTGCAAGATCTTGGCGGACTTTTGGGGCCCACGAAACCGTCGCGACAAAGATCCAGGACCGGCACGGAATTGCAACCCATTCCTCAATCGCAACACGACGACCATCCATCTTACAACCCTCGCCCCGGCGAGCCAACACTTATCGATCCTGGTGGCTTACTCAAGTAGTTTGGCAACAACTACTACGCAGAAGCTGACCTGTGATACACCACACAACCACCTAATCACAACACATCACGACCACGAAACCACGACTATATTTTATGAGACAGTATATGTATATGTATATTGACGATCTCAGCGACATTGCTGGGGGCTCTTTTTGGACATGAGGAGTTATAGAGGTTTAGAGCCTTTGGCCGGCGTTTCTATAGGTCAATGGGGAACCGGATACGACCATACTTACGTTTTGGAATTTTGGAGGAAAGGACTATTTACGATCAACGGGAAATGGGCGTTGGAGGAAAGCCCCGGAGCGGCCTTCACGATGATATCTGAATGCCGTCGTCTTTTTGCTTCGCTGTTTACCGTTATATATACCCCGGCGCAAATAGCCGTCATGTTTTGTACCTGAACAACTTGTTCCAATATCATCACCATCTACAAATGACAAATGAAGAATGACTCTTTTATGGATAGCGCTTTTCCCCCCTTCTTGTCATGTCCGCTTGCTTTTTCCGCAGCGGCAGCAATGCGAGAAGCTCGGTCCCGGAAGGCGTTTTCCATGATGCCTGGTCCCTGCACGACGTTTGTTGCGCATCTCGGCCGACGACCCTGTTCCCTACAAAAAGTCAACGACTGACTCTCGTCGCAGTCTGCCCGCTGCCAGCAGAATCCCTTCTTCAATTACCCCTGAGGCATGAGTATATTGTGGCCATGGTTCTTCCATCCTTTCTTTAGAGTTTTCTTGGCCAATTACGTTTTTTTCTTTTGTCTTTTCCCTGCTTTTTTCCACAGTTGTTCCGAGTCCCGACGGATCAAGTTTTGGTCGCAGCTATCTATCTGTCTATCTGTGTTTTGCCTGACTCAATGGCGGCCGCTTGACGCTGGGCGCCTGACTCTTCCCCCTTATTTCGAGGTTGAGGAATCCCTAACCTCACAATTCAGACTTCGTACTTCCACGCTCCGTACTTTACCCCTGGGTTCAGAGCTGGCCTGAGAATCCGAATACGTTGTGGGTATTTGGGATTTGGAAAGCATTAATCACTTTGTCGAGGGACTCTGTTTTATCAAGGAGATTGCTGGGTTCGTGGGAAATTTTGGGTCACGACAGTGGTCAAGTATTCCTAACCATGAAGATCAGGGAAAGATCGTGAGAAGAGGGGGAGGGAGGGGACCGCTGAGATCGTTTTTGATATGTACGGCACACGGGAACCTACACAGACACGTGGTGAATATCGTCGGGAGAAGGAATTTTTGGGAGGTTCTACGGAGGCGTTCATCCCGTGTATTAGCATCTCACTATCTACATATCCTCGCGCCTTGTGGAGGTCATCCACACGGTGGGTAAAGGGGCTTTGGTGCCTCCTAGGTCATGACCGGTTACTTGATAGGATACAGGAGCTCGTCCAGTGTTGATGCGTAGGGTGTTCATCCAATGTCTTGGTCCCTTTCCTCTATCTCTGCAAATTTATCGGTATTATGGAGCTTTCAACTCTAGACGCGGATGGTATGAGGGGTTTTGTGAAGAATCTCCGTCTTCTTATACTTCCCTCCCCTCTACCCGGGAGTAGGTTCTCTGTTTCACCAGAGATGGAGATGTACCGGATGAGAGGCCTAGAAGAAGGGAGTCCCTCATCTGCTTTTCAGTCGGTTGGTTTTTGTCCCGAGGCCAGTGGGGTTGGCTTCGAATCGAGACGTAGGATAGGGATGATATTGCGATGTAGGCGATGTTTACGTCGTTCCAAGAGAATATGTGTTTGTGATGGGTGGTTTAGATTGCAAAACTTCGTAAACATGTTGTTGATGGAGGTGTGACGTGGGCGTCGGAGGCCTTGCGAAGTAGCTAGGAATAGGCACAAGGCAATTGTTTCTATTGAGCATTCTTTGAATTCACTTCTCTTGGAGATTGCCGTTCAACGTCATCGAGCGAGGGTGCTTCCAACAATATAGAAATGAGTGACTGCCGGATCTGCAAGAACTCGGTTCGGTCCCTTGTATAATTCAGGAACATTTTTCGTCAAGGGCTGGTCAACCCCGAGCTCAGAGTCTCTGGTGGTGGATGAAAATTGAATCGACATGTAGCATAGACTTTGAGAAGGTCGAGGAATCAGCCATAACGATACCGGTTCTGTTCTCGTGCCCCTCCCCCCCTGCGGAAAAGCTGGAGGAGTGACGACTGTAGTTTACTCACATCGTATCTCACTTAATCAGTCAAAATAACGAGACCTGACTCCAAGGGAGAACAAAACAATGTCAAAAAAAAGTAAGTTAGTTGTATTGTCCATCTAGAGGAAGCCCTCCATCTCTTTTTTTGGTTGTCGTACACAAAACAGCAGACCGTAGCCGTACCCTCAACGCCAGACTCAAGAGTGATGCAAAGAGTATACTGAGAACTCCCTTTCCCCCGTCTACCAGGGCGTCAAGTCATCCTGCCGGAAAGGTGAGTCCCCAATCCCAGCCCCACCTCGACCCCGTCCTCCCGGTTCCCTATCTCATGTCTCGCCTCCCCCAACCACATGCGCGAGACCCCGCCCTTTACACGCACAATCTGTAACTGGCGTAACGTCCGGCCGTCTCCGAGGTGCGAATAATCTTGACGACGTGCCCGCGCTTGAGGCCGAGGTACTTCGCGACGGGGTCCTTTTGCAAGATGCGCGGCAGCTGCGTCTCCTTGAGGCGGTAGCGCTTGAGGAGGGCAATCTTCTCCTCGCGGCTGAGGAGGATGTGCTTGGGCACGAGCTCGTGCTGGGTGATGTTGACGAGCAGGTCGTCCTCGAGAAAGCACTCGACCTTGGCAAAGGACTCAATGGTGACGAGCATCTTGCGGGCGGCGGGGGAGAGGGGCACGTGGGTGACCATGATGCCGGACGAGTACTTGTTGCTGATGAGGTGGTGGATGAACTTCTTGATCTCCTTGATGCCAAACGTCGTGTCGGCGAGGAACTCGACCCAGAGGGTGCCGCAGTCGGGCGTCGGGTTCGGGTTGTTGGGCGTCGCGGGGGGTGTGAATTTGCGGATCATGTCGGCGGAGGGGTTCGCGGAGAACTGGAGCTTGCCACGGCTGAGGGGGCCTTGATGTTAGTAACGGGGGCTTGGATAGGTCGAAGGTGAACGTACTTGACGCTGCCGTCGGCGCTGGTGTACTCCATCTTGAAGCGGTCGAGAGAGATTGTGAGTTCGTCCTCGGCGAGTTCATAGCCCTGCGATCGGTCATCAGCACAGATGTCGCCAAGAAGTACATCGTCCGCCGGGGTAAAGATAGCATCATTCGCATAATGTTCCTCATCGATGGAAGATCAGGGGGTCCGTACGCGGTCCGCAGCCATCTCGTGGGCTGTCCTCCATGCTCTCCACAGTCTGGTAACCTCCTTATTGACGTCCTTCTGGTCCGACATCTTCGCGATGCTGCGTCGTTGAAAACTCTTCCGTCGAATTCGTGTGTCAGTAGCGATGCCCCTGTCGTCGCGGGTAATTTGGGTAGATCCAGATGAGGGCGTCGGTGGTGGATTGGTTCTTGTCGCGACGAAAAGTTCGAGAACCTCAAAAAAGACTGTCGTCGCAAAACGGGTTCAGCCAAAAAGTTCTGGCGGCGGAATCAGCCTTGCAGGCCAGAGCAAAAGTTTGAGTGGGGCCCTTGGACTCCGGTTGCTTAATCCTGGTTCGGTCCCGGATAGCAGTCTGGTTCTTCTGGAATAACTTGGAAGAGGTTAATCCGAGACAGAGACAGCCCGGAACATTCTGGACTTGAAGATGAGGTACGTACCTCAACTTCTCGACTGACAGATCCCCAGCAGCGTTGACCAGGTGGCAGGTGCAAGGTGCACGCTCCAGCCACGGCTGCCACGGGCCTTTCAAGGGTCCAGAGTCCCAGTGAACGCACGTGCCACTTTTGAGGTGAACCCCACAATCAAAGTCCAGGATGGCAGGTGGCCTTACCTTCTGGAGAAGGTACCTGCCACGGAACCCAAAAGAGTGAATTTCAACAAAAATTGGGGGATCCTTTTGACGAAAAGTTCACCCTTCGCGTGGTTAATTCCGATTCCACTTCTCCATCCTCCATCCTCCACATCACCAATTCGACTTTGCTGTCCACCCCGACTACGGCAGTGTGCGCATTCGCCAGCTTTGTTTAATTGGTCATCTTTTGCATCAATTAACAAGCTCCTCCCTACCTTCACAATGGCCGACACCAAGCAGGCACCTGCTGCTGCTCCTGCGGCAGCAGAGACCAAGACCGAGACCAAGTCAGCTCGTCCCACCATGCCCGACGAGGCCGAATACCAGAAGAAGCTCAAGGTTGCTGAGAAGGAGCATAAGGAGGCCCTCGACCAGCTGGTAAGTTTCATCTCAAGCTCACTGGCGACTTGCTCCTCGAATCCCTTTCACAACTGGGAGAAGCGCAAGTGAGCTCCAGATACCCGAAAATGACACATTGCCATTGGATCGCAAATGGCTCACACAATTCCTTTTCCAGAGCGCCATCAAGGCCAAGATCGAGATTGCCATGCCCAACAAGAACAAGGAGCAGCAATCCCCTACCCAGAAGCGTCGCGCCGAGCTCATTGCTCAGGCCAACGAGATTCGCCAGAAGCAGGGCGCCGGCAAGAATGCCCGCACCTCCAAGCTCGACCAGATCAAGCGCCTCGACGAGCAAATGCGCTCCCGCATCAACGAGCAGAAGACCGCCCGCTCCAAGGTCAACTTCAAGAGCGTCGAGGAGGTCGACCGCCAGATCGAGAAGCTCGACTCCGAGGTCAACTCTGGCCGCATGAAGATTGTCGACGAGAAGAAGGCCCTCGCCGAGATCTCCTCTCTTCGCAAGCTCAAGAAGAACTTCTCCCAGTTCGACGACTCCCAGAAGTCCATTGACGACCTGAAGGCCAAGATTAAGGAGATCAAGGACTCGATGGAAGACCCTGAGGCCAAGGCCATGTCTGAGCAGTATAACAAGATCCAGGCCGAGCTGGACGCCATCAAGGCCGAGGGCGACGAGGCCTACAAGAACCTCTCTTCCCTCCGTGACGAGCGCACTAGACTGCACAACCTCCAGAACGAGAAGTACGCCGCCCTCAAGACCATCAAGGATGAGTACTGGCAGCAGCGCAAGGCGGCTCAGGCCCACGAGCGCGAGGCTCGCGAGAAGGCCCGCGAGAGGAGGAAGAACGAGGCCGAGCGCTACCAGAAGGAGCGCAAGAAGGCCGACGCCGAGAAGTTCCTCGCCGACGCCAGCGACCCCGCCTACCTCGAGGAGATCCGCCGCGCCAACAGCCTCCTCCAGTTCCTCGACCCCACCCACAAGGTCGAGAAGGCTCCTCTCCAGGCCGCCAGCGGCCTCACCGCTCAGGCTTCGCGTACTGTTGACGACTCGGGAATTAAGGGTATGAAGGTCGTCTCCAAGAAGGATCGCGACGAGGACTTCTTCCCGGCCGTCAAGAAGGGAAAGAAGGGCAAGAAGGGTGGTGCCACCGAGGACAAGGCCGGCAAGTTCAACTGCCCGCCCTCCGTTGTCGAGGACTGCGCCTTCATGGGCATCGACCCCCCTATGGCTGCTTCCGACGTCCCCGCCGTTGCCGAGAAGGTCAAGGCCAAGCTCGACCACTGGAAGAGCGACCAGGAGGCCCAGACTCAGCGCGTAAGTTCTTTTTTACAACCATTATTTGGTTATCTCTCCATTTTGCATACTGACTCGACTTTCAGAACATTGAGAAGGCGAAGAAGCAGCTCGAGAAGCTCGAGGCTGACGAGGCCAACGGTGTCAGCAACGGCGACTCGGTCGACGAGGTCACCAAGGACCTCAAGGAGACCTCCGTCGAGGAGAAGGCATAGTCTTCTCACTCACTGACTCCGTCTACAACTTTTGCCTGACTGAAACCCACTGACTCTCAAGCCTGTCTTATCTGCCTGACGTCCTCGCGCAGATATTATGGACTAGGGGGAACGTGAACTCTCTCACCTCTCTGCCTCTTTGTCAACACACACCTCCCAACCGATACACGTATACGACTCACCCCTTCTCACAAAAAAGCACCACCATTGGCATTTAAAAAGAGGAAAAAAGGAAACTTCTTTCGGAATGAAAAACTAAAAGGGGGATGATTGCAAACCTTTTATAAACTCTCTGGCCTGTTTTTGCGTCTTCCTAGCCAAAATTGTCCCTCGAGGCAAAGTGGCTTTCTTGTACTTAGCAGCTCTCTTCCCCTTGTGCCGTTTGTAGTTCCAGCCATACACTTTGAAAACAAAAATGAGAGGTAAAAAGAGAGAGAAAAGCTTTTTCTTCGATTTTGTAAAAACATGAACGTTCCATGTTTCTTTGCGTCTACTGTCACATTGAAGGTAACATACCTACCTGAGAATGAGAAGGGATATGTGCAGCATGTTGAATGGGACAAGCTCTGCCCAGGTATCTACTCCGGCAGAATAAGTTGAGCCTTTTGGGCTCAACGTAATCATCCCCATCTGGTAGGTCCATCCTCATATCAACAAGCCAATGTAGTCCAGCAGCCTTCAACCCTCATTGATTGGCCCCGTTGTGTCTCGGGCTGTCTTCGTCGGGCAGGTGTGCTTTGTGCAGCAGGCGAAGGCATGTCATGACGTGACGTGCTGGAAACGATTCCTGGGGGGGATTGAGGGGGGCTTGAAGTTTGAGCAAACACGTCGCGGAGGCATCATGGCATGAGACGAGTGGTGCGCGTGTAGCCTCGGTAGTAACGCTTCGAGGTCCCATGGTGCAATCTCATGACGTCCTTTGCGCGCAGAATGATCATCATCGATCGGCCCTCTTGCTTTCCCTCCCTGTCTTTCACCATAGGTCCGGTCACGAAGTTGCATGATACGCGAGACAATATTTTATATGGTTTATGGATTATTGCTCTAGCGGCCACTGGTTTGAGGGCTGTTGATCCTGTAGAGATTTCCTCCCGTAACATCTAAGAAGAGGAAAATCAAATAGTACCCGGCCTGCGCCGTCGCAAATGCCAAAGAATGCCCTCTTTCCGTGATCCGTACTCCGGTGCCTACCCAACCAAAGAAACTGGAACAGGATGAAACCCTCAAAAAGGATATAAACGTACGAGACTCGATCACAAATTCCGGGTTGTCTCGAACATAGTAAAGAGCAAATGCGTAAAAGAAAAACGTGGGTTCTCCAAGGCTACCGCTACGCTTTGCAATGCATATATGCCTGCTTGTCCCGCGTCAACACACCAAAAAAGACCGCTGATGCAGTTCGTGGGTCTCATCAAAATAATATCATAGGAAAATTGCAAAGACGCCGTGATTCGTACCAAGATGATATTCGAACTTCAGGAGCTTCTAGCTCTGGATGGTGTCTTTCGTCGATCTCAGCTTTCATGGGGGCCCACTCCATCCATAGTATGCACCGGGACCTGGAGGTGCGGTTCGTCCAAATCCAGGCGGTGGTCCTCCGGGGTGTCCAAGGTGTCCCATGGGCGGTCCCATATGCGGCATCGGTGGCATTGACCTTCTTTCTCTTTCCCTCAAGGCTGGTGTTCTCCCGCCCATCCTGCTAGGCATCGGGGGCATGTCCATGCTGGGCGGTGGTGGTGATGCTCTCCCAAATGGACCTCTATCATGACTGCTAGGTGCAGCAATGGCCGGAGGTCCGCCTGAAGGAGGTCCGCCTCCTCCAATTCTTCTTCCAGACCTATTCTTGGACCCGCCACTGAGGGCGCTCAATGGGGGATCCTTGACAAAAGGGTCATCATCGGGAGGGACGTTCAGCTCGACCAGACTGAAGAAATACTCGAGGACTTCAGGATATCGTTGAACACTAGATTGCCAATCCTCGTCAATGCCGTGCTTCAATGCAGCCTGCGCCTGGGCAAGCTCGCTAGGGTGAGGAGGGGCGTGGTAGTAATGGTATGCGGTGGCGTTGATGCGTTCAAGGTTAGCGGCGTGAGCTGTCTTTCGGCGCTCGGTGAGTAGACGAAAGTATTCCAGGATGTAGTCTTGCGCGTGAGCCCGAACCCAGCTCCTGTGTATATAGTCAGCGAGATGTGACATAGGTAAAGATGAAAGGTCGTTCATACCGAATGTCGGTGTATATAGACTGCATCATGCGCTGCTCAGCCTGTTTTATGGCAACATCAAGTCCCTTGGCCTCGCAGTCGCAAGCTGCGGAGGCAGGGGCGTGGCATATAGCACAGTCCGGATCCATCCTTGTGGTAGTCTTGCGCACACGCGGAGTGCGTGGAGTGCGCGGCCTGTAGTCTCTGTGGGAATATGAATACATCTTAGCGAAGGGATCACCAGATGAGATACGAGTGGTCTGTCTCTAGTGGAAGTGGAGAAGAGGTGAAGATGAGAGGATATTGTACAAGGAGGTCAAGATGGGTCATCTATTACTAGTACAGATGTCATTATTTCTCCCGAGACCCTGAGCTTGGGTCTCATGGAGAGTGTTTGGAGAGATTGGGGTTGGGGATGAGGCTCGGCAGCCAGGGCAGAGGTAGTGGAAGAAGAGAAGAGAGAGGAAAGCGGTGATGGACTGACCTGACTTAAGAGATTATTAAGAGGGGCCGGGTGGTTACAGCCCGGCAGAGCGTCGGCGGTAGGGTGCGAGAGTGAGGGAGAGAATATCCGTAAGGTAGTTGGGAATAAACAAAACTAGGACGAATAAAGCGAGTTGCTCCTGTGTGTTGGTGCTATGTATCCTGCAGCGTCGAAGCATGAAACGATAAGGCAAGCAAGCAAGCAAGCAAGTGAGCAGGCGAGCAGCGAGCAGCAGACTAAGGTAGGCTTCCTAAGCGTGCAAGCAATAGAGAAAGTCGGATGGAGAGTAAGGAAGTCGTAGTTGCAGTCGTGGTAGACAAACGGCGGGCTCTCATTCAACGAGAGGAGCAGAAGCAGAAGCAGAAGCAGAAGCAGAAGATGCGGAGGAGACGTGGGGAGAGAGAGATAGCTTGATCCACGAGGACGCAGGTAGATGAAGAGAGGATCGAATGGGAAGGGGGGTTTTGACTGCAGCGTGAGTGTCGTGGCTCGAATGCCAGCAGCTCTCGATATGCAAGTCTTGGGGGGGTCTGACGATGGCCCAATGAAGGGGACGCCAAGCGAGAGAGGTCGTCTACCCGACCAAGTCCCAATGAGCTTCGATCAGGGACCCAGTGAGAGGTGGACTATTGTTTCTTGAGGTATACGTGGGTAAGGTAGGTCTAGACGTCTGTCTGCCAAAGGTGACGGGCCGGAAGAGAAGGGATGGATGGTAGAAGACGAGAGAAAATTGTTGAAAAATTGCAGTCAGTCGGCAGGTGAGAGGAAAGAGAGAGAGCGCAACGAGAAGCACCTCAGGTCAATGAGTGGAGGGGCAGATTATGTGTGTGCGTTGTCGCCGCCCCTCGTTTGTCCTTCCGGTGCCGTTCCCGCCTTTAGCTTTGGGCTTCAAGGCGGTCAAGGGCCAGGGGAGGAGGGGGGAGAAGGAAAAGAACGGGCAAGGACAGGCCGCAAGTAGGAGAGCTGCAGCCAAAAGAAGTCGCGGGGCGGTTTGCAGTGAAGCGGGGGTACTTTACAGGACAGGAGGTTGGGTGAACCACTTCCATTAAGGTACCTTAAGGTAGGTATCTGTACTCCGTACCTCCTTCTCCGTATGCTCTACGGATACAACCACTGAGGAACTGAGACACCGCCGATGGTCCAGCGGGAGACACCGAAGAGGAAAGAAAGCGGAGAGGGGCAGGAGAAGTCGGGCGGGTCAGCGTTTGCAGGCCGAGACGACCGGCGGGGTGGGGTGGCTGGTCTGCACCTTCCAATGCTCCTCATCACCCAACTTCGGAGATACCTAGGTACCAGACCATCATCACCACCACCCATCTCATTGAGGGAAAGTTTGATGCACAAGAGACGAACCAGTCCACACTACAGGAAGGAGGGGGCGAGCAACCATTGTATACCTAGGTATCGATCAGCTGGGAACCACTTGGTTCCATCTGATGCAACGTCCGAACGTGCGCTTCCAGAACGCCAACGAACGCTTGTCCAGAACCCGGCCCAACTCTACCTTACCTTAACTTGCCTTACTTACCTTACCTACCATAGGTACGGAGCACTTCCAGCGCCATATTGTCATCCCTCAATCGAATACCTATCCATACGCGACTTCCCTCAGCAAGATCCTCTTTGCTCCGACGATGGGTGCTATTTTGCCAATGTCCCTACAACGTACTGGGTCATGGGACTAGGCTGGTTGGCTCACCGCATATTGCCCTACCTCATGCACCTCGCGTCTCGATTAGAGCCCGCTGCAGGCGCGCAGGACACAACCGAACAATCCCCTTTCTGTCAGATTATGGACTCGTAGAGAAGCTGTGGCAAGCCATCATTGGTAAGCTGCAGTAGCCTTGTCATACCTCTCTGTCTGGGTCGGTCGAAATAATTTGCCTCACAGATGGCCCCTCTTGGAGCCGCATCTCAAAGTCGAGAGATGAAGGAGTGACGTTGAAGAGGCTGAAAGGACAAGCGAGCTCCCTTTTCCCTTTCCAGTCTTCCCATCTTCCCCAGCCAACTCAAGGGGAGCTTACGAGGCAGTGCACGCCGCCGGATTTCATATGTCAGCCCCAGTTTGTTTCCCAATGATTTGGGCACTGGCCCGTTTGACAATACCGTTCGGCCGTTGATCCTGGTCTCACAACGGTTGCTCCCGCCCCTGCCACATTATGTAATCCCCTCTTCTTATCTTATCGTCGCAGCTAAGTTGAGGCACGTACCTTAGGTACCTTACCTCAGATGGGATGGAAGCGTCCAAAATTTCGAGCTCGTCTCATCTGTTCGCATCGCGGGCACTCGGCGACAACCCTAACGGCTGCGATTACGACGACGACGACGACGACGACGATCGGCATCACACGGCGCCGAACGAGAGACGAACATGGCGCCAAGATGTTCGGGCGGGCATACGGTGTTGCTCCCGTTTCTGTACCCCTCGTTATTCTTTTCAAAGAGCACCACCACGCCTCGTCTTGCTGCGAGAGCGGTCGCACGTAGTCGCCGCCATAGCTCCACTCAGGTAGCTCAAGAATCAAAGTCCACCAGGCTCAACCCAGCTCCCGACGACTATTCCCAACCCATCTTCGCCGATAAAGCATCGGTAACTCTCTACGCGGGCCCTGGTGGCCACGGCTGCATCTCCTTCTTCCGCGACGCATACCTCCCCGACGGACCCCCCAACGGTGGCGACGGTGGCCATGGAGGCAACATCTACATCCAGGCTGTACACGGCGAGACGTCACTGCACAAGTTAGCCAGGCGGCGTTTCATTCGAGCAGGGAAAGGAAAGTCTGGTCAGGGCAGCTCCAAGGGTGGTCAGCGAGGCGAGGATGTCATCATCACCGTGCCGGTTGGTACTGTCGTCCGCGAGCTGGCCAGGGAAGACCCCATTGCCGAGGATGCGATCATGCAGCGCGCTATGAAAGCGCAAAGGAAGGCCGAGAAGAAGGCTAAATTGGCTCGTCAGGCTGAGTTAGCGGAGCAAGCGAGGCGAGAGTTGGAGGAAGGCATTGAAGAGGAGGATGAAGAGATGGCGGCGGAAAGGGAGGCGAAAGCGAGAAAGCAGGCCGAGGATGAATTCGACGAGCCCGAAGACCCCGATCGCAGCAAGTTCCTTCTGTACCCCGGCCTCTCCAAGTCGGATCTGAAGACGATATCCCTTCCCAAAGCCCCTACCCGCCAGCGTCTCTACCATCAGCCACCCGGCCCGATTCAGCTCGACTTGTCGCGCCCGTCGCCGCAGCCCATCTTACTCGCCGTCGGCGGCATCGGCGGACTCGGCAACCCGCACTTCACGTCGCGCGAGTTCCCGCGGCCCATCTTCGCCACAAAGGGCGAGCGCGCCGTGACCATGGAGATTGAGCTCGAGCTCAAGCTCCTCGCCGACGTCGGGCTCGTGGGACTACCCAACGCCGGCAAAAGCACCCTGCTGCGCGCCATCACGAACTCGCGCACCCGCGTAGGTAACTGGGCCTTCACGACGCTGCAGCCGAATATCGGCACCGTCGTCTTGGACAGCTACAAGGGTCGCCCTGTGATCAAGAGCTACAAGCGGTATCCCGCCGCGGACCCCGCATACGGCGGCAGCGGGTCACCCGGCGCAGAGGAGGAAGTCCTGGTCGAGCAACGGACCCGCTTCACGGTCGCCGACATCCCCGGTCTCATCGAAGGCGCCCACTTGGACCGCGGCCTCGGCATCGCGTTCCTGCGCCATGTGGAGCGTGCCGGCGTGCTCGCCTTCGTCGTCGACCTCTCCGCCGGTCCCGCCGTCAAGGCTCTCAAGGCCCTCTGGAACGAAGTCGGTCTCTACGCGCAGATGCGCGAGGAGGAAGAGCGCGCGCGCGAGATCGACGCCCGCGTCGACTGGGACCTCAACTCGGGCACCACCAGCGGGGCCGCCGCTCTGCAAGGAACCCACGGCGCCATGATGGTCGCCGACGCACCGCCGGCGCCCCGGCAGGAATCGGGTCTGCACATCGCGGCCAAGCCCTGGTACGTCGTCGCCACCAAGGCCGACCTCCCCGAGACCCAGCAAAACTTCAAAGACCTCAAGGCCTACCTCGACGAGATCAAGCAGGGCACCGCGCCGCACCCGAGCGGGATCGAAAACGCCTGGACGGACAACGTCGCCGCTATCCCCGTCAGCGCCATCAATGGCCAGGGCGTCGACCGGATCGTCCACTGGACTGTGGGGTTACTTGACGAGTAAAAGGGTGGGACAAGACAAGGGAAGAAGAAGAAGAAAAATGTATCATATCATTTTGTATCACCACCGCTGTATAATGTTACTTTATGCAAGAAACGTGCTGTGTTCTTACGAGAAACTGGTTTCATTTGGTTCAGCCCCTGAAAGCGGCATGCAAGTACCTGAATGATATGAAAATTTCATACGGAAAGAGCGAATAGCAGCATGTTGCAAAACTGCCACATTCATCTGGATTGGATACAGTAAGGCATCCCCGAGACCACGGCAGCACCGAAGGGCTTGAATCGCTTAACGAGTAAGATCCTTTGGTTGCAGTCAATAAGAAACTAATGAGGGAATTCGCACTCAAATATTAACAAGAAACTTTTTGGCATTTCATTCGTAATGACTACTCCGTCTAGGGCGACTCTCATCGCCTTGATGGTGCGGAGGAGCTTCCATCCAACTCATTATCCAGGGTTCGACTATGTGCTCGTAAACCCAAAGCCAGGTAGCAAAAAGCAAGAGCTGCTGCTCAACCGTAAGAGGTCGACCTTCCAACCCGTTCCTGCCTCCCGAGGGTACGTCCCCCCAGATTCCAAGCCAACCCAAGTAACCATTAGAATATTATAGGGTGAATAGTAGTCATGCTGAGACCCAATCCTCTTCTCCTCTCCACGAAATCCTTACAACATGGCGAGAACAATCGCACCAGCCAGAACAGCAACGCTGAAGGTCGTCGTGGTTGCACTGCTGCCGGGGACAACCGTCGGTCCTGTTGTGGGAACGCTGACGGTTCCGTTAGTACCGGGGCGGCCGGTGCCGGAACCACCTCCGGAACCACCGCCGGAGCTAGAGCTCTGAGAGGCAGACGGCGAAGCACCGCCGGTAGCAGTGCCGGTAGCAGTGCCAGTCGCAGTAGCACCTCCGCCGCCGCTTCCACCCGAGCCACCATCGGTAGTAGGCACCACAGTCGAGAGAGTCGTAGCGGAACCAGCGGCAGAACTCTGCTGGCTTGAGCCTGAGCCGGATCCACCTCCTGTAGCAGTAGCCGTTGCAGTCGCGGATGCTGAAGCTGCGCTGCTGGCCTGGGTGGAGGCACTAGCAGACGCGGTGTTTGTGGAGGAGGCCGAGGCCGAGGCTGACGAGCTAGAGCTGACGTTGTCGCATGAGAGGTCGTAGAGAGGCTTGGTGGTCAAGGTCGAGCCAATGACACCGAAGCTGGGGTTGGGTGTTGTTGGAGAAGAGTCCTGGAATGTGTACCACCAGACATTGGTCTTACCGAACATGGGGCAGCCGACGTCATTCCAGAACTTCTTTGCGTTCTCGAGAGATGGAACGGCAGCGCCGACAGTCTTGCCGCTGACGGGCCAACCAGTCTCAGTAACCCAAACAGGCTTTCCGCCAACAGCTCCCTGGGTGGCAGCCAAAGCTTCGGCCCAGCGGTCCTTGCCGTCCGAAATGGAGTTGGGCTTGGTGTCCTCGAAGTAGGGGTAAGCGTCCATTCCAATCCAGTCGCAGGCATCGATGACCGCCTTGTTGCTGCCATTAACCCAGGCGGTCCATGTGTCGACGTGACCGATAGGAGCACTGCTCAGAGGCGAGTTCTTGATGACTTCTCGGACTTGCTCAAAGTACTTGACGAGAGTGCTGGGCTCGGCGCCAGAGAATTCGCCGTTGGCAATACCGGTAGGCGAGTGGCGGTAGAGGTCCTCGCTGCCGACAGAGATACCAGCAACCAAGCCGTTGAGCTGACTGCCGTACTGTGAGACAGTCTTCTTCAGGGCCTCAAGCTCGTTGGCGAAAGCAGCATCACCAGCAGAGGCCCACAGACCAAGCAGAAGAGTTGTCTTTGTGGAAATGGCGGCGGGAATGGCAGAGATGGGATCATTAGTGCTTCCTCCCTGGACCATGGTGTAGAGGCGAGCAGAGGTGAAGGCGCCATTGGTGCCCTCGAGACTAGCTGCAGTCTTGAACTCGGATTCAAAGTCTGACTGTGCCTTTGCTTTACCGTCGGTGAAGGTAGATCCGTAGTTGAAGCCCTGGAAGGCGCTGGCCGTAGCCGCGGCGTATACAGCCACCAGGCTCAGAGAGGCGCGCATATTTGTGATGCCGAGGGAGGCTTTGCAATGTTGCAACAGTGATGATGTGATGCAAGGTAGGTGAGATGATGAGAGTTGGTTGCGATTGGGTTTTGGTCCAAGATGGAGCAAGGTCCAAAGTTACCGATGGATGAGAGACAGGGTACTCTGGGAGGAGTGTTGACTACGGGTAAGTATACAACAGTCAGGCAGGTAGGTCCAAGGTATTCCAAAAACGAGAGACGGATGGGTGAAGTTGTCCCAGAGTCCCGTAGGCACAGAGCAGGACGAGGGTCAGGCAAGGTATCGTGAGTGACAATGAAGGTAAGGAGGAAGAGGAGTGATGAAGCCGGCCGGGCGATGAAAGGGTAGAAAAGGGAAAAAGCAAGTGACGGGGTAGGGCACAGCAGGCAAGGAGGGATTCCCCAGACAGTAGGAGGGATGCTTGTTCAGATCACATTACAAGCTTGGGAAGTTGGGGTGGTGTCCTACAGGGTTCCCTGTTCTTTGGACCTCCCCATCTTCTTTTCTCGGGAAAGCTCTTCACTCTCAATTCTCAACAAGAAAAACCTTGAAGGACGGGACGGGTGTAAAAGTCTGAAAGAGGCAAGTAAAGAAGCCAATTGAGTGGTGCCACCACACACCAACTTGAAAGCACTAGTGTGTCTCTTCCTCATGCCCTGCTTCCATCAAAACAACACCGAGGACGCCACCATAGGTTCCTGAGAAACAACAACACACAGCCGTCGCAGTCTCATGCAGGAACGAGCCAAGGTGAGGTCACTGGTGTGGCCCGTATTCTCTACACAACAAGTCTAGCACCATACAAAAGGTGTGCTATAAGGTATGGTCTTGCCCCTGGAACGACGGTGGCGATGAGGTCACGCCGGGCACAGGGCAAGGCATTCGGGGCAGGCCCGGTCGAAACACCGACCCAATCACGGCTGCCATCCTATTTTACCGGCGTCCCGGGCCTTGCCATTGCTCCCAACTGGGACGGCCGGGTCCCTGCTGGCTTGCCATATTTAGTAGTCTACACCCACTATCTTCTGCTCCCATGCCCCTGTCGCTGTCGTCCGGCCAGGCCGTGGCGCCCCTCCCCCGTATTTTCCAGCAACCACCATCATCGATGCCCCCTCCCGGATGACCAACACAAACACCTCATCTCTATGCGGGACATTCCATTCGGCCCATCTTACTGTCGCTCACTAGGTACTGTTTACCGAGTTGTTTTGGTGCCGTTTTCCCGCGGGGTTATTCTGCAAAAATACGAGCGAGGCTTTGATGTGTCAATGATCAGCAACCTCTCGACTCACTCTCCTCGCTCCAGACGTGCTGCAGAGCGAACAAGAACGGAACGGAACGAAACCAAACTCAGGCACCCGCGCGTCTAGTTACCTATGTCTTCCATGGAAGAAGAAAGTCTAAAACTGCAGGAGAAGTGGGCTGAAAGTACTGAGTTTTGACGAGTCTTGACGAGTCTTGAGGACATGAGGGAAAAGCCACAGAGCAGGGAACCCGGCGTGACATCTGCAGGTACCAATGCAAGCAAAGCGCCTGCTTCCCCGCCTACTATGCAGGGGCCCTGGGTAGTAGGCGCCGGGGCTGGTTCTGACTGCATTCCTGGACTTAATTCTGCAAACACTACCATCACGTTTCTTCTCATTGATCATTCCGGCAAAGAAAGCCCGACATTCTCCTTAGGCTCTGTTGAAAAACATTTGGCATTGCAGTCTCAGTGTGCGAATACCAGTTGAGCAGCATCGGCGCTCGGGAGGGCAGCTATTGCCGGAGCATTGCCTCCTGGCCATACAAAGCTATCAGTAATACTACTCGCATAACACAGGACTTTCTCTCTATGACAGAGCCATTGGGATGGGTCTCAAGACTTAATGCCATCCCATCTCATGGCAACTACTCACACCCAGCCGAAGTGGATGGGCATTTCCAACTGGAAACCCCGACATAAAGCCAATGAACGTGAGAGCCGAATGGGCTTTGGCATCTCTTGATGCACAGCTGGCGCCTCTGAGAGACATCTGGCAGCACCTGGTAACGCATCATGTTCCTTAGTCAAAGTCCTAGATCCAAGACCCCAATCTGGTTCGCCGAACGTCGTCAGACGGGTAAAAGTGGGACGGGGAACTAGGCATCTTCACGCTGTCATCATACCGACAGATAATCACCTTAATCGACTGACGTTCTCAAAAGATGCCAACCAACGCTTATCGCGGGCACGTATCGCCATGGCAGAATACAAGGCAATACTACCTATCAGCCCTCAAGGGTGAGAAGAGAAACGAAAGCACCGGCGTCAGTCATAAGGATTGAGCTGACATCCTTAGGTCCATCATCTCGGACTCCAGCGCGGCCCCCGAGCAGAAGCCAGTTGTCCGTGTCACTAAAGTGAAGCTATCGCGTACAAGCACACGCAAGGTACGCACCGGGTGCGTTACTTGTAAGAAACGTCACATCAAATGTGACGAGTCCAAACCGCATTGCGGCAACTGTCTGCAGACCCGCGGCCACTGTGAAGGTTATCTCCCAGATCAGAAGAAGAACAAAAAGTCCTCAGGGCCCGCAGAACTCTGTTGGGATTCTACTCAGGCCATCATCCCTCGAGTAGCAGCAGTAGCAGTAGCATCGCCCACGGCGCAGACGAAACTGCACATCAACACGGTCGACTTCCGCGATGACAACAGCATGTCCTACTTCCAGGAGTTCGTCGGGCTGGTTCGAGGCCCCTGGATGAGAGCTGCCTCTACCGGCGATCTGTGGGAAGTCATGCTGCCCCAACTGTCCCGCAACAATGGCACTCTCCGCTCCGCTGCCATGGCCATCGGCGCCTTGAGCGTCTGGTACCGCCAGTCCGCCCATGTCTCCCTCCATGCTATCACCGTACCCGACCAGCCCACCTCGCAAGGAGACACCCACTACTTCCAGGCTGTAGCTCACTACTGCGATTCTCTCAAGATGCAGTGTAGACGGGCCTCCGCCCAAGACGCCGTCTTCCTGTCTGTCCTCCTCCTCTTCTTTGAGACTCTTCGGGGCAATAGGAAAGCCGCCCTCGATCACGTCAACCACGCTCTGTCCCTTCTCCTCGCCCTCGTGACGGACACAGATGCCCACCATCGCCTAGCCGACCTCGCGCCTAACCCGATGCCCGTCATTGGCGCCGTGGCAGATGTCTTCAACCACCTGGCGAAGCAGGCCCGCACCGTCTTCAGGGGTCGTATCCTCGACGGCCCGCCCCTCCCCAATCTTGCAAAACGTCTGCAGAGCACGAATCAGACAATGGAGACCTTCATGATGCTCCTCAACCAGACGCAAAGCGAAGCCGCCAATTCACCAGAGTCTTATCCCGACTCGTTCGATACCCTCGAACAGTTTGAGCAGATCTGGCCCGCCATTCGACGTCACCAGGCCGCCATGGGCGCCGTCATGGAGGACATATTCAAGACCTCTGGCCTCCGCGGCGCAGACGACGACGTCACCATCACCAAGCTCCACTACGAGCTCTTTGGGAACCCTCGCATCGTCAGCTTCTGCGAAAACTTTCACAAGTCCATGGTCAAGCTCAACGCGGGCTTTCAACCCCTCTTCAACCAAATCATGCAAGCCGACGTCGGATCCCCGACCTACCTCCGCGCCATCCTCCTGCGCATCGAGTTCATGGGCGTCTACATCTTTAGCAACGCCCCCTCCTTCATCGAAGACGCGAGCGCCCGCGCCCTGACGCCGCTGTACCGCGAGTACATCTCCCTCGCGCACATCGCCACGAGGGCCGCCAAGAAGGAGTTCGAGACGAACCCGGCCCACCACCTCTCGCTGCAGTGCAGTCTGAGCTGGTGCCTCCTCGTCATCTCCATGTTCTGCCGCGACCCCCTCGTCCGCGACGAGGCCATGTGGATCATAAAGGAGTACCCGGGCCAGGATGGCATATGGAGCATCCGCGCCCTGTACGCCCTGGCCCTGCGGAACCGTCACGTCGAGCGGGTGAACGCCGTCGGCACGCCCGACGAACAGTGGCGCCGGCTGTGGCGCCGCGAGTTCGTCTTCGAGGACAGCGGCGACCGCGTCGTGCTGCGGTACATGGAGAGAGACGAGGTGACCGAAAAGTGGCAGCTGGTGGAAGAGGCAGCCGATATCCCCAGAGACGGCGGGGAGGCCCAGTGGAAGCGGCAGCCCCTCACGATACATAGCGGACTGCTCATCTTGGACCTGTTTAATGCCGTGGCGCAGGGTGACATGGACACGAGGTTACCGATTGGCAGGCCGTGCTGAGAGGTTTGGAGAGACTGAAAGAGAGAGAGGCATGTTTCTAGATGCGATTCAAAGTGACGTCTCTAAATATGCTAGTTTGATACCCCCGACAATGAATCTGAACAAAAACGCAGTACATTTCCAACAACGCTGTCTGTTTAATGAGGATGGTTTGAGACTTCTACTTAAACACTTCGTTCACATTCGGCTACAACGTTCCTACGCCCGTCCTCCCGTTATGAACTGAAAACTACTGGTCGAGTGCCTGACTTTGACACTGTTACGAACCATGTTAGCAAAGCAAGATCAATCAAGTTAGGCAGAACCAAAAAAAAGCGCAACTTACCATTTCCCAGTATACGCCCTGTTTCCGAATGAGCTCACCGTGGCTTCCCTTCTCCACCACCCGCCCCTCGCTGAACACGAAAATCACGTCTGCATTCTGAATCGTCGACAGCCGGTGCGCCACGGCGACGACGGTGCGGCCGTCGCGCACCCTCTCGAAAGCCGCCTGCACGATCTTCTCCGACTCGGAGTCGAGCGCCGACGTGGCCTCGTCCAACAACAGAAGCTTCGGCTCGCGGATGAGGGCGCGCGCGATGGCGATGCGCTGCTTCTGGCCGCCCGACATGGAGACGCCCTTGGCGCCGACGTCGGTGTCGTACCCTTCGGGCAGCGAGATGATGAAGTCATGGATGAAGGCGTCGATGCAGACCTCGTGGATCCTCTCGTCCGATATGCTGCTTGGGTCGTCGATGCCGAAGAGGATGTTGTCCCGGACCGTGCCGCGGAACATGATGGGCTCTTGCGGTACGAGGGAGAGGTTCCGACGGTAGTCGTAGACGTCGAGCTCGTTGATGTCTACGCCGTTGCAGAGGATGGAGCCGTGGTTCCGGTTCAGGTCGTAGAAGCGTTCCAAAAGCGAGATGACTGTCGTCTTGCCGCATCCCGAGGGTCCGACAAAGGCCGCGTACTGGCCCTTTTCGATGGTCAAGTTCAGACCCTCGAACACGACGACGTCGCGCGTGGGGTACTTGAAATGGACGTCTTGCAGCTCGATCCGCACGCCGCCTTCGGACTCGGCAATTTCTTCCACCCCTCTTGTCGCACTCTGGCCGACGTCTGCCGACTCCCGCACGTCGAGGATCCGGTCCGCCGCCGCGGCTGCTTGCGCGGCACTGGGCGCCACGGCTAGCGTTTGACTCGCCGCTTCGGCGCCCTGAATGATGGCCATGAAGCAGACGAAGAATGCCTCCATGGAATACTCGCCTGTGGC